ACAATTCTCCAGAGTTCAACTCCATGAACATTTACTTTGCCTCTGTGAGCTAATCTCTGACTGCAGCATTGAAATATATCAATGAATTATGCCCTAAAATGTTGCTGATATAAAGGCTTTTGTGCACGGGGCTTTGGCCTTTGATGATCTGACACTCATCTGGAAAAACTGAGAAACATCAGGAATAAATGTCAAGTAGAGGAGTTCTATTAAAGACACATGTTTTTTATGAATGGATAATGCCATGGATTATTTATCCCTGTGTCAGCTGGAAGCATTTTGCATTTCATGACTATTGTTTGCATTGCTGGTCACTCTTATCATTTTAGATCATGCTCTGGTCAGAGAGAGAAAATCAACGTTGATTTAGGCACCACAGCCATAAACACACAATGGGCTTCACTCGATAAAGTGAGGTCAGTGAGAACAATACGCCTCAGAGGTGACCTGCTGAGGCAACGACAGAAATTGTTGTACGCGTTCTTCTATTTTTCCCAGCGTTTGGCAAAAACAGGAAATAATTTTTCTAGTCTACAAAGAAGAGAAGTTGTTTTGGGAGTCAAAAGCTTGAGTTAAGCAATCTAAAAAGAAAATGTAGCTTGTTGCATAATCGGTTTGTGGCAGATTCAAACAGAAAGAGATCACCACATCATTACAGAGTAAAGAAGAGTCATTACAGACTATTTTAAAACACACTGAAGTCACACAGAATCTTCATAGTAAGCAAAGAAACTACACTTAGGGCTTTGTCACTGCCTTGATGAGGTCACAATGTGATCCAGTTGGAACGTCAAGAAAGTGGGAATTTCATTTTCTCCAAAAGGCCATAATAATAATAATAACCTCTGTTGGACATGAATTTGTGTTTTCCAGTGTGCTGCTTCAAATTAAATTCTGTTTGTAAGTACTGCAAAGCATACAGGGAATACAATGTGTGCCATAATGCAGTAATCAACTATCACATCTAATGATTGACAACATATCAACTAATGTTATTGCTGTCAATACCCCCAACAAGTCCTCCAACTTCAACGTTTGTCTTTGCCTCTGAAAACAATGATCATATTACCTTTTCTGCTCAGGCGACCCGATGGGGTGTTGCCATTGTGTCAGTGTTTTCCACTAAGTCTTTATCTGATTATGGATCATGTAAACAACAAAGTTTTTAGTTTGGGTTGACATTCTGTCCTGACAGTCATAATTCATAAGGCAGGTAAATGTGTGATTTGAATGAAGAACTGAAGCTATTGTTTTGGAGGGGGAGTGATACATTATTTGATGGTAAGCACATTCATTATTTTTAAAGAGTTGAGTTTGCTACGTTCTGACCATATGAGCACTGTGTAAAAACAGGAAAAGTGCACTTTAAAAAAAGCCCACGCTTTTTGTTTTTGTGTTCAATCACAGAGGAAAACACAGACTGTGTTTTACACGGGAAGAGAGCTGGGCCCCGTTCCTCGTACGTGGCTAACTGAGTTAGCCAGATACTTTTTAAGGATAAGATGACGTAGATCAGGCTTTCCGGTTCCACGAAGCAAGTTTGGCAAAATCACCATGGCAACACATCCATAAACTTGAACCTGCTCCAGCGCAGGCTAACTGAAGGTAGCTGGATAAGCTGCCACTCCCCCGGAAGAAATGGCAGCTCCTGTCATATACGGTAGTCTAATGCGCTTGCGCATATATTGGGGGTTATACGGGAGTTCCAGAAATGCATGTAAAGTGAGACACAAGGTGATCCATTAAAGCAGCTGAGCAAACTAAGAAGCCTCTATTGCATTATTGTACAGCTCCCTTCCTCAGAGATCCACTGATGAAGGAGGATATTAGTTAGATTAGCGTTTTATAGGGAGAGAGTTCTTCCACATCGCCAAGATCCGTTATCACATCATGATGACTTCCTATACGAGCGCTATCCATTCTGCCCACAAGGAATCATTTATTTACAGACCTTCTGGAGCATACATTGAACACCACACGCTGCAGCCGAGCACTGATGTCTCACACACTGGATGCAGCCTTGAGCTGTTCTGCGAGTGGTACATTGTTGTACAGTGTCGGCGATGCGGAGAACATGGGGAAAGCCGCTGCATGCCGTGCTGTTGGTAAAGTTTATTAGGCGCTTAATAAACTTATGGATGTGTTCATTACATCACCATGGTACATATTGTACTGACTCACCATTCTGAGTAATGTGTGTGTGTTAGTGTTTACTTGCTCCCATGTCCTCTTGATGGCTGCGTTGCATACATGAGGGTTAAAGCACTCATAATGATATGACAGTGTTATTAGTACACCAGCATATCATTACTGTAGAACATGATGAAGGTGGACTCATGATAAGAATAGAGAGAATCACGCACTATTTCTTTTCACTGCTTCAATTGATTGAATTTCTGATTATGAATAATACACACATACATACTGAATCCGCCCATACACAGATTCACACACACAGATTCAAACTCCTAGTTCTATATGGTAATCTACACAGACATGTATATACACATATATAGTAGGCTACATGATACATGAGGGCATACAGTACATATATCCTCATATTAATTCGTATCAATTAGATCCTCTTTGGGCTTGTTTTTATCTTATTGTGAAAGAGTTGAGATCATTATTGTCGCTATAGATCTCATTGGATGATGCATTCATTAAGCCTACTGCCAGCAGCTCATTTAAAGACATATAATCTGATTGATTGGGGTGATGAGGCATTAAAATGAGCCGATACATTTACAACACTTACGCATTTAACGTGTCTGTGATATTTTGCGTGCTTCTTGTCTAGCCCTCACAGCGGTGGCGGTGTTATATTTAGCCGTGATTATGATCTTGAATTCCTCATATGCGTTCATGATCATCTCCTGCTCGTCAGCGGAGTAAAAATAGGCTCTTTCTTTGAGTTTATTTGCCATTGTACTGTTAGAAAATCATGGTTTCGGTGATCACCGCTTCCCCCTTTTGAAGTAGGACGGGCACGCGCAATTATCCTGATCCTGATAGTCTAGTTCGAATTAACGAGACTGAGCGCGGATCAGCCTTGGAGAAACCGAGATAGTCTGATTTCAATCATCGGGTTAATTTCAGCTGGCTAATAGGACATTTGATCGATTTAGTTGAACCACGTACGAGGAACGGGGCCCAGGTTCAGAGCCTTTAGAAGCTGACATGGCACAACCAAACACTATTTTATCAGTGTTTTGGCAGAGCTGCTCCTTTTCAACATCAGGGTTACAAAAACATTTCATTTTCCAGGAAAATACTACATCAACACAGCAAAAGAAATGTGGGTGTGTTTCTGTTTTGTTGAGTTTTCTGAGTGAAATCTTCTGTATATAAACCTGAGCTTCCATTTCTTTCAACAATTTGATACTTGTAATTTCATCAAAAGCAAATATTGCATTGTTTTGTATAAGCCTAGTTTAAAGATATTTTTCATTTTGAGACTACGTTACAGTCGAAGTTGAAAACCCAATCAGTTCCAATCAGCTAACATCCTGTCTCCAACTAATCACTTGTGAATCATTCATCTGAGGCCTCCACCCTTCAGAATCACAACATCCCCTCTGGATCATCTAAACCACACAACACATACACGCTGCAGTTCTACTTTTGCTTTTGCTGAACCTTTTTTCAAAACACCAAAGACTTCCACTTCCATTCAAATTCTCACAACATGCTTTGGAAAAAAATCCCCTCCAAGAACTCTCTCCCCCAGAGTTCCCCTCAGAGAGGATAAAAGCTTCGGATTTACCACTTCAAAGAACTTTTAATCTCATATTTGCCTCAGCCAGATCTTCAATTCATGCTGCAGGAAGTCGCCCAACCTCCATTATTGTCGAGGTGTGATATAGACCTCTGGAATTATATTCTTCTAAAATGGTGCTTAGCTGCAGTTTTATTTCAGGCATTTGACTTAACAACCATAACAACCCCTGAGCTTAATCAGGGCCGCTGCATTCTCCTGGGGAACGAGGTTATCCTTTTTATCCTTTCTCTTAAAATTCAAAGGTTAGAAGGTAGGAACAAATGTCCATTTGATTGACAGAGACATATCACATTTCTCACAGTGAGAAAGAGGAGAGGACACATATGACTGCTTCATGTAATGGTCTTAACTGGAGCTTCAGATCAAAGCTGGCCAAGAAGGGGACACTGACACATTGTATGGGTCCTGTGGTATTTGAGTTATAGAATGTAGGATTACAGAAACACCGTCAATCATCCAGTTGTGTCAATACAGATGTACTTTTTTTTTGGATGGTGCAGATGATCCATTCATAGTCAAAAGACTGACTCCAGTCAGGATATTGGCCAACTGATGCTGGCAGAATGGTTGAAATACCTGTGCTTCTACAGTCTTTCATTTTGTTCTGAAAATGCCCTTAAAATTCATTATAGTTGATCATCAGCCAGGTATTATATAATATGGCTCTTTGGCGCTCTCTGGCAGCCCTAAGCTACACTTTGGCTTAACCTCAAGTATTTCAAGGTCTTTCGTGTCCTTTGAGGCATATCAGAAACATTTCACACTGTGTGAAAACAAACTGGCGGCCTAGGTATGCAGATGGGGGACACTGTTCTCCCAAGAATAACAGCTGCGTCAGTCTTTTTAGCAAAGGCCCAAATGATTCAGGTAAGACCTATAGTTGAGTAGGGTCAACAAAGCGTGGGACAAGAATGCCGTTTGTTTCATGTTTTATACTGACATTCAATGCTGGTTTCTTTCAACTCTGACCACAATTGTTTGCAAATCTAAACCAATACGATGAATGTTCACTAATCTTAATAAAGTAGTTATTTCAACCCAAACCATGCTCTCTCCCTACCCAAGTCTTCCTTTGTGCCTAAACCTAACCAAACCAAACCATCGCTAAAGGCATCGGATCAGAAAACACTGAATCAATTGCAAACAACATATTATTGAGGGACCTGTTGAGATGGGGCTTCTAGTATAAATCTTCTGTATTTCCTTATCTGTTAAACAGGGAAAGGAGACAGAGATGCGGTGCTGGACAGTGAGGTTGTTCTGACCAAAATGAAGCTCTTCAAAAACTTCCACGAAAGGCTCCTGATGGCGGACGACTCAGCATCCACAATCTCAACAGTGTCGGTTATAGAGCAGGACATCTCGGACCCCACCAAAGCTTCTGAAGTGAATTCCCATCTCAGTGACAAGTCCGGGCAGCTTCAGATGGAGTCTGGCTCAGACTACCTGTCTGCCATTTTCTCAGACTCTCAGCTGACGAGGTTGTACAAGTTTGAGTCGGAGGACTCTGGAGTAGAGCTGCCCAGTGGCGCTAACTCTCCGTCCACCCAGACAGGCTCTGAGCAGAGCTTCATGGTCCACAGTCGGGAGTCCTCCTGCAACTCCTGCAACCTGAACTCTGACCCTACCACTCTCCCTGATGAACAAGTCACATATGCACAGAACTCTGAGATTGAACAGACACAGGACTCAGTGGATAACAGTCTGAGTACAACAGTGGATACTCTGGATAATGTCTTCATACACTCAGAGGAACTCAGTTCAGCTGTGAGTGTGGAACTGCACATAGGTGAGGACGTGGACGGGGACCAGTGCCGGGCTTCAGGAATCAGCCCTGAAGGAGATGAGGAAATGTCTGGACAGCTCGAGGAAAAATGTGCTGTAACTGAAAGGACCTGCTTAGAAGGAGGCTGCGATGACATGACCGCCAATGACTTTGAGCCAGAGCCTATAAGGAGGAGTGACACCAGTGACAGCCTGGAGGAGTACATGGACGAATGCTGCAGGCTGAGTGAGGTAAGAAGAATATCATGTCCAAACATCCACCAATCTATCCATCCATGTTCTGCCCTTTATATGGGAACAGGCAAAGCGAGGTAGCCTAGATGTCCTTCTTAGTACACACCCTCTAGCTCTTCCTTGGGGACTTTCCTTCCTTGTTCCCAGGCCAGATGGGACTAGCTTTATAACCCATCCGGCAAGTTCTTTGTCTCCTTCTGGTCTAGAAAACATTTTCTCCAAAAATGTTATACTCAAACATTTGCAAATCTAACGTCACACAAGATGCTCTAAATCTACAAGTAGCAGATGAAAACATTTTAAAGGGCCAGATTGTAGCATTTTAGGGGCACTATTGGCATAAATGGAATATCATATTCATAAGTATGTTTTCATTAGTGTATAATGACCTGAAACCTGTGTGGTTGTGCTTTGTTTGCTTTGTCCTCTTCCACAGAGTCCATCATGTTTCTACAGTAGCCCAGAATGGACAAACCATAAACTGGCTCTATAAAAAGCCTTTCACGTTGTTATGTTACTTGAAGGCCACCGTAGTTCTCCACATGCTGTGAGCCGCAGAGTGTAAAAACTGTGATACCAATCAGCCGCCGTCTGACCCCCGTTGCTCTTTCACTAGTGTTACTATGGTAATGATGGCCTCTAAGCAAGGCCAACGGCGTTTAATACGGTTTTGCACTTGATGGCTCATGTTACAGCAACCTTGGAAAGGGAGGAGAGAACAAATTGATATTCAGTTGGTTGCGACATGCAGCCACAGCGATAGACAATGACATCGTCAGCATATGGCTTTAGCCACTAAGGTTTTTTGTCTAGCCCTGAATCTTTCTGATGGAAGAAAGATAATCTATAATCATCATGAAATGTAAAAAATGTAATTCTTGACCACCTCAAACTTGCTGCTGCCTGTGTGTGCATGTGTGTAGAGAGACTGAGTTTTATTAATCATTCTTATTTTTATCAATCATCATATCAGTCATATGTGTGTTAACACAGAGTCAAAAGTACAATAGAATTTGTTGGACAAGAAAACAAGCTAGCTCAGCAATAAGAGCATCAGTTATAAAATATAGAATATAAGATAAAGAAAATACAAAAAAAAGACAAGGGAACTATTCATAATATTGTTACAATAATCATAATACTTTGAAATAAATCAAGGAAACTTCATAGTGTAAAAACAAAAAAAGGACTACAGACATTAGTCCTGTCAGAGGCTCCAACAGATTAAGTTTGTTAAGTTTGTTCTACTAAAAGAACTAATCATATATGCCTCAACAACTAAGCATAGTAACTGCATATGTTCTTTTTCTCCAGAGTAATTGTCTTAACATTACACGTTAACGTTAACACATTTTGTTATACAGATCCATAGTTTAGTTATAAAAGAACTATGGGCAATAACATGTCATTACATGTCACTGATGGATTCATACATGGGGCTCTTCAGTGTACCTGTGCTGCATTATTTATTACTTACTAACCTGTTGCATTCAGGTTGGACAAGACATTTCCTGTGTGAGTGTGAGCTGTGCTTTCAAACTGTTGAATAAGGACAATAAGGTTCCTCCCTTTTGGGTGAGCAACAAAGATATTCGATGTCCTCTGTCATTATCTCTCACTTCAAACTCTTTCCCTCTAACCAGGTAATTCTATCACATCAACATAAATATGGTCCATGGATTGCTACATTTTCTAGAGTGCATTTATAGGTATGAAGTCCATAGATTTTTGTTCTAACTTTGTAGCAGAACAAAGGACTGTAAAAAGCACTGACGCCGTCCTGGGTTTGACCTATTCCAGTGCCAGGGACATGACAAAAGAGCCACTGTACTCATTCATAAGGAACTGCAGGGGCATGTTTCATTCATGTTCCTGTTCACATCCAAAACGAGAGAACAAAGTGGGCTCTACGGAGAGAGCACCTGACAGCTGTGGAAGCTGCAAAGTCATAATCAGCTGTTTGAAGTTGCTGAACACATCTCTGTCAGGCCTTCAGACTGTCTCTCATAGCCGGCAGCTAGTAAGAGTCAGAACCTGATACAGCCTTATGTTTCTCATTTGAATGCCTTCTGCTGTTAAACAGGAGGGGAACAAATGGTGGAGATTATACTCACAAAGGGTTAAAGACACCTAAGTAACAATCTTCTTTACAAGAAGGGAATATAAATAAATTCATTATTAGTGTTAGTTACATTTTTACCAGTTTGAGGTACTAAATGAAGTAAAACTGCTCAGCATCAGAAGCACTTCTTTGTGGATATACCTATAGTATATATTTCTTTGGTAGTAAGGTGCATGGTTGTCCATGGATGTTAGTATTTAGTGTCCATTCAATTTACAATATACATTACAATTATATTATTAAAACATGATATA